CCCCCCCCCCCCCTGCCAATCAGGCGATAAATGTTGTCGGATTTCAGCGCTCTGCCAAACAATGACTATTACAGATGCAGGCGTTTTCACAGAACGCAGCCGGGGTGGACGGTAGCAGCTGTAGTTTTGGTTGTAGCCGCAGCAATTATTCTCTGCGGCAACAGGCAGCGTCAATGGCAGCAGAGGTGTATGTTGCTGTAGAAATAGCAGGAATGGCAGGTAGGGGAGCAGCAGCAACAGTTGTTGATTCAATACCTGGTGCTGCTTTGTAGCCGTGTAGTTGAGCTCTAAAATTATGCAATCGAAAGCAACTAATCTGGCTAGTTGGCGGGGTCGTCAAATTCTTCTTCTCCGATGCCGAATTCGACGCCGACACAACCCCACGCGTCGCAGACGATGCTGGCGTTACTCTAGGCCTTCTTTGTGCCGCTTCGCCACCCCTGCCAGTCTCTACGGCTCCACGGCCTTCTTTCTCACCATCGCTCCGAGCGTCGCCAGGGTCGGCACGGGCTTCTGCGGGGAAGCTCTGGCGGCCTCCACACGGTCCGTCTTCCGGTAGAGCTGGAGGAGCACGTGGGAGAAGAGCGCGATGATGCGGGAGAGGCTGCCCCCGCCGGGCTCCGGGTTGGTCTCCGCTCGCAGATCGACCTCCTCGGGCCTACTTTACACGGCAAGAGCAGCAACGACCACGTCGTATGCCGCACAGGTACGGAGCACACGTTTGTTCACGGACCCCAAGACGAGTACAGCAAAAGGTGAACAAAAAAGAAAGGGGGGGATCAATCGAGAGCAGAGGGAGTTCAACAGCAGGAGAATCAGGAGGGGGGGGAGGGGGGAGGGGGGGCACCAGAGTAACTGTTACAGTTATAGGAGCAGAGGAGGCCATGGATAAGAGAGTGGGGGCCAAGGAAGGGCCATGCTTTTGTCGTATCGGGCATCAGCACGGCAGCTTGCGGGCTACATACACATCTCATCCGGTGATGCATACGTTTCGAAAGCGCGTTCTTCCTCCCGGACACAAGGTTGGTCCACGCCAAGGACCAGAAACCTAACCAAGACAAAGACGGAAACGAACGCGCCGGCAGCCAGGCAGGCAGCCCGCACCGAACAGCAGTTGCCGGCACGTCGCGCGGGCGGAACGCTCTCTCACCTGATCTCGTTGTTGCACGTCACATGCAGGAAGGTGCTCAGCACGCGCAGGCTGTCTCGCACGTATTCTCCCACCCCAAGCTGGAAGCCCGAGGCGGCGATCGCGTGGGGAGTTAAGGACGTGGCGCGATGCACAACAAGACAACCACCCAAGAACGACGACCAGGGTCAGCCGTGTACACAAGAGCCGGTGGCGGGAGGCGATCGCTCTCGGTACGCATCTACCAAAGGGGCGATTAATCTTGTGTGATGCGATGCCCATGTGTGTGTGTGTGTTCGTCCCATCTGTTCTGGCGCCGGTTTACAGGACTTTCGGCGTATGTACGTGAGGTATCAGCTCGAGTCACACAGGAGCTTTCTTAATATTTGTTTGTTTGTTTTATTGCCCCACAAAAGCTCGATTCTTAGTCCTTATTTCCCGTTTCCAAAGAGAGCCAGCGCCAACCCCAAAGCTCAACTCACAGACAGACCTTTTGTCAAGCACGACACTCCACGCCGGTGTGGGGGGAAATGCTGTCGCTGTGTGCACATCCCGCCATGTTTCATGTACAGCGCAGTCGTCCCGCAGGTAGCAAGCACCCATTTTTTCATAATTGGTGTGAAAAACAAGCGGCGTCCGCCCCGTGCCGTTTGACCAAACACAACGGGAAGGACAACTCCCGATCACGAAAAAGGAAAACGTCCGTCTACCCCCAACCTATCATGTTGCGCTGCGGGGCCCCCTCAAACAACACTACGCTGACGGGAAGAGGAGTGCGCACCTTATTCGACTGCGCGAGCTCTCGGTACGTCTGCTGCGCGAAGCCGATGTAGCGGTAGACCTTAGATCGGTCCAGGAAATGCAAGTGGTACACAACCATCACCAGGTAGCAGCTCACCACCTGCGTTGTAGGTTGTTTGGGTGTTTGGAATAGAAGCAAATACCATCGCAAGGAAAAATGGCGGCTAGCTACTGCAGGGTTGCTCTTGATTCGTACTCACAACTGCTCTCGCTTCTTACAAAGACTAACCCGCCTCTAATTACCTATCGACAACTGTCATTTTGTGTAGGCCTGCGGGTTTTTTCTTTGTTCAGTCGTTGGGCAAGGGCGGGAAGCCGTCTGACGGCACACGCACACAACGACACCCACCCACCACGCGCGGAGTACGCCGAGATCAGAGAAGAGAGCAAGCGAAGACGGCTATCGGTCCGTGTACGGACCGATTGCACACGCGAAATTGCCGCCCGAAAGACCGACGACACAGGAAGCAAATCTAACCAACCCACAGGAGCGACCTTTCAGCGCAGCCGAAAATTGAACATTCCTCTCGAATCAGTCACAGCAGCCTCTCGGACCAACCACAACCACCACCTTCATCGACCACAACAGCAACCAACCTCGTCAACCCCCCCGCCCCAACCCCACCTCTCCAACACCGCGACAAGCATAAGCACAATTCGTACCTCGGGTATGAGCGCGTCAAAGCAGTCCTTCAGGTGGATTTGCGCCCTCGACATGTATGCGCCCGCCGAGGCCTGGTCGCCACAGAACACCGCCCCGACCGCCACGCAGCCCAGCAGGACAGCCTTGCGGGCGTGGTACGTGTTCTCCTCCGCCTTATTATGCGAAGCAAGCAAGTGGCGGAAGTACCCGAACGTTTATGTCCCGTGTGCTTCATGTGAGAGGTACAAGTACATCTTCGCTGTTGGGCGGCGGGCGACGGTTTCAGGATGTACTAAATGTACTACAATAGGGGACGAACTCTTGAACCCTTCGATTTGATCCGCCATGCTGATACAAGCGTCCGGACCTGGGGTGGTTGCTTGATCCGCCTCTGTAGACTAACGCTCGTCTCTGGCTACACAGGCGTTCTTGGTCCACGTTTCGCAATGAAAAGACACAGCGAAGCCCCCCCCCCCCCCCCCCCCCCCCCCCCCCCCCCCCCCCCCCCC